TGATTAATGAAATCAACGTAAGTTTTCATGGTAACGGGCAAGGCATCGAATGAATTTATACTGCTGGTGGTGGTGTTCCAGCCGGGGAAACTTTTGTAAACGGGTTCAACTTTCATCCTGTCCAGGCGGAAAGGTATTTCACGGCTTTCCTTTCCATTCAGATTGTAATGAGTACATACCTGTAAATCTTTAAATGCATCCAGTACATCGGCTTTTGTCATCACAATCTTCGTTACCCCGTTTACCATGCACGCAAAATGCAGTGCCACCAGGTCGATCCATCCGCATCTTCTCGGGCGTCCCGTGGTCGCTCCAAACTCATTACCGATCTTTCTTAATTCTTCACCCGTGGCATCTTCCAGTTCAGTTGGAAAAGGACCGCTACCCACCCTCGTGCAATACGCCTTAGTAACACCAATCACGTCGCGGATCTTCTGAGGTGCTATACCTAAGCCACTGCAAACACCGGCAGATATCGTATTGGATGATGTGACAAATGGAAAGGTTCCAAAATCAATGTCAAGCATGCTGCCCTGTGCCCCCTCTGCCAGCACTCTCTTACCTTTTTGTAACTGGTCATTGATGAAATATTCGCCATTGACAATATTTAATTGCCTGAGAAATTCAAGCGCTTCGAAAAATTCCTCTTCCCATGCAGTAATGTCTTCATTAAAAGAAAAGTTGTCGAGTAATTTTTGATGCTTTAAACGCAACTTAATATAAGCCGTTGTAAAATTTTTGTCCAACAAATCACCTACGCGTAAACCATTCCTGCCGGTCTTGTCCATGTAAGTGGGCGCAATACCTTTCAGGGTTGAACCAATTTTCTGGTTTCCTTTCGATAACTCAGCGGCTTTGTCTAACGCCCTGTGGGTAGGAAGGATCAGGTGTGTACGCTCTGCAATGAAAAGATTTTTTCTCAGGTCAACACCAAACCCGGCTACGGTATCACATTCCCTTTTTAACGTAACGGGATCGAGCACCACACCATTGCCAATCAGGTTTAATTTATTTTTTTGGAAAACACCGGAAGGTATCTGGTGCAATACCACTTTTTTATCTTCAACGTATAAGTGTATGCCCGGCATTGGGACCACCCTGGAACCTGGCCACAACATCATAATCTTTCGCGAAATAATCTACGATCTTTCCTTTGCCTTCATCGCCCCACTGGAGGCCTAGAATTACATCAACCATGTTAAACTCTTAAGTATTAATTATTGCAACAACTGTAAGCCCTGTCAGGAGCGGTGGCAAAAATACTCCTTCAGCAAAAAGCCACCG